GGTGCCCCGCATAGTGACGATAATCCGTTCTGGAAAAATCGTCGCTATGTGGAACAAAAAAGCCCATAGGAATGCATTAAAACACGTTTAATGCGTTCCTATGGGCAAAAACCACCGTTATGCAAAAATCCTGCATACGGCAGCCATTTTCGCTGCGTGGTAAGCGAGGAAAGGGCGCGAAAACACTATGGGCAGCCATTTTTTTTTTACCCGGCGGCCATTTTGGAACCACCGATCAGCTGTTAGAAAAAACATTGCTATACGAAAATCGGTAAGTAAAACAGCTTATCGATCGTCGCAAAGCGATGTTTTACCATTTAAAACATCGCAATGGGATCACTTTTGCGATCACAAAAAAGCCATTGCTATGTGGATTCTTCGTTAAACGGGGCACCCGTTATGCGGGGCACCACTGTATAGTAAAGAGAAGGTACTGATGAAAGGCAGAGCAATGTTCTAGTCTACATTTTACCTGAATAGAAAGTAGGCCTGCATAAGGAAGGTATTAGAGGAAGATTGCTTTTGGGTTAAATTCAGTCAGCTTTTTGTTGGTGTTTGTTGCTTGCCAGAGCAAAAAGAAGGAAATATCCATAACCATCCATTTACTGGCAGTTAGTTGCTCATAGCGACATAAGGGCAACCCATGCAGTAGGTATGGGTAAATATGGGAAGGATGTTAAGTGGGAGAGCAATTTTTTGTGTTTGTTCCAGCATTCCTCTTCTGAAGGGGGAGAGAAGCATACACAGTTTATAGCATAGGTTCCCAGAGTGGTCTATATGGACCCTCAGGGGTCGATTTCGACTTGCAGGGTGTCCATGTGTAAGTTTGTAAAATTATTGGTAAAATTTTATGGTAAATGTCGGTGTGTTGTAAATGGGATCGATGACATGTTGTCATTTCTCATTGCTGAGCTATACGGGCACACACATCACGCACATATGTACTCGTTTAGACTTGTATCAAAGCTTTGCACGGACTTGTTTGATTCATAATTGATAAATAGGAGTGTTAGAGACGTTCAGTTGCTTTCTGAGTTTTGAGAACAAAAGTGGCTTAAAAGTACGTTCAAAAATATAGATAGAAAATAGGTGAAAGTCAAGTGAATCAAAATCATCTTTGTTAGGAGTTCCTAAGAAAACTAAGTTCAAAATTTTATACATATTTTGTAGTCGTTATGCTTGCATAGAGCCGTATACGTATTTTCGTGGACATTTCAGCATTTTAAAAAGTATTTTAAAGGAGAGCCGGAGGTGCCTATGCGCACCATGTTAAAATAAGAAAATTCAAGGTACATTTATTCAGAGACTGTTAGTGATAAACACCTGAAACTTCAGCAACATGTTTATTGATTAGTTTATAAGATTTTAATGTAGCAATATTAATATTTCTGACTTTGCTTGGTACAATTGTTTTATTAAAAGCCATTTTAAACTTAAAATATGATGGTTTTTTAGAATTTCATCTTTTTTACAAAATATTTTTGTTTTCCTACATTCTTTCTCTTCTTGAAAGCACGAGAAGCTGAAGTTAATAGGTTTAGAAAAATGCAATATTAGGTAGGCAGGGAGTGTACGGAAAACAAATAAGTAGGCAAGCGGTCTACAGTGGTGCCTCGACTTACAACCATAATCTGTTCCAGAAGATGAATGTACAGTGGTGCCCCTCTTGACAACGATAATCCATTCCAGGAAAATCGCTGTTAAGCGAAATCGTCGTCAAGTGAAAAAAACCCATTGGAATGCATTGAAAACCGGTTAATGCGTTCCAATGGGGAAATACCTCATCGTCCAGCGAAGATCGCCCATAGAGAACCGCTGATCAGCTGTTTAAAATCGCTGTCTTCCAAAGCAGGGGTCTGGAAAACAGCCATTTTGCGAAGGGAGGGAAGCCATTTTATGAAGGGAAGCCATTTTGCGGAGCTGGAAAAATAGTCATTTGGCGAACAAACGGTTCGCGAAGCAGGCTCCTAATTGACGTCAAGCGAAAAAAACCCATTGGAATAGCGAATGCAAAAAACTCATCGTAAAATGATTTCAATGTCATGTGGGGTAAGCATCTAACGGGGCACCACTGTAACTCGAAATGGTCGTAAGTTGAAGCACAATTTCCCATAAGAATGCATTGCAATGTGATTAATCCGTTCTGGCCAAAGGGGGGGTGTCACAAAAATAAATAAATATATAAATAAAAATCACTGCAAGATCCATTGGAAACGCAATTAATCCCTTCCGGCCAAAAAAGGTGGGTGGAGAAAAGCAATCAAGCGTGCAAGACCCATCAGAAATGCACAGAAAACGGAGCAGATTGGAAATGCACAGAGAACAAAGGGACCAGGTCGGAAATGCAAAGAAAACAAAAGAATAAGCAAGGGAAGCATGCAAGACCCATTGGAAATGGGGAAACCCAAAAAAGCAACCAGACCCCCAAGATCCATTGGAAATGGGGGAAAAAAAATCAAAAAACAACTCCCCAAGACCCATTGGAAATGGGAAAAAACACTCCAAAAAGCAACCAACCCCCCCAAGACCCACTGGAAATGGGGGGAACACCAAAAAATAAACAAACCCCCCAAGACCCACTTGCTCCTTAATTTTTTTCACTTTTTCTTCCAAAAGTGCCTGAAGTGTGTCTTCCCTCCTGAACCCCTGTTACCTTTTGGCTTTCTTCTGTTTGTCTATGATTGCCCTTTCCTTTGTCTTGCCTTCACATTGCGATGTTCTCAAAACAGCTGATCGGCGGTTAAATGGTGCGCTCGTTAAGAGAGGCACCACTGTAATTTTAATTTGTTTCTCTGCAATCAATTCATTTTAGAAGTTTAAATCCAACGAGATAAATGACAGAATAAGGCATTATATCCATAGACTTGGGTTTCCATAATTGCAGTAAATTGTGAACAGCTCTTGTGCTTATTACTAGTTTACAAAGTCTGCATTTTATTCTTGGGTTATGCTATATTATTTGTAAATATTATCAAAAGGAGTCAGGTGTACTGCATTTCTCTCATGCCCCTTCAAAAATCTAGTGATTCTATGGGCCTACTTTAGCTGTGACTTACTACTGGGTTTCAGCCATTGTATATTTATTTGGAGGCTTGTCTTTAAATCAAGAAGTTTGAAGTTTAGATTTCCCTTACCTGTATTCATTTGTGTGAAATGGGAAAATGATAATAGTGCATGTTTGTATGATAGCTTTGCATGTGCATGTTGTAGTAAGTGTTAACCATGGTTTATTGCTTAAGCCACAGATTGCCTGACAGATGAAACACAATGGCTTGTCTTCTCTTCTGGTTGTTTTTGTCTTACCCTTTTTGTCATTTCTTGTCAATGTTAGCATAGCGGAAGCAAGCCAGAAGTGAACATTGACTGCAGCTTTGGGTAGCATAGCAAATCTTTGTTTAAACAATCCAGAGTTTAACAGCCAGGAAACTATGTTTCAGTTTGTGGTTTGTCTTGTTTGATTTCACTAAACCGTATTAGGATTTATCTTGACATCCAAACATTATTACGAAGTACAGTGGTGCCTCGCACAACGATGTTAATTGGTTCAAACAAAAACCTTATGTGAAAACATCGTTCTGTGAAACACCATTTCCCATAGAGATGCATTGAAAACCGGATAATCCGTTCCAATTGGAATGGATTGCCGTCCTTAAGCGAAAATCCCCATAGGAAACATTGTTGTGTGAAACAATGTATCCACCATTCAAATGCATTGAGTAGGCTTCAAGGCATCTCATTGGGGGAGAAAAAAATTCACCAAAAATTAACGAAGACTCAGAACAAAGCCAGATTAAGTTTGCAAAGGTTTCACAAGCTGCGCTAACGAGTCCAAGCATTTAAAATAGTTTCTGAGTCTTCGTTAATTTTTGGTAAAAAAATTTCTGCCCCATTAAGATGCATAGACCCCCCCAACCAAGAAGCAGCATGGCAGCAGTTAAAAAATTTTTTAAATCAGATTTGAACTTGTGCATCCAAATCCCAGAGGTAGGCATGGCCACAAGAGAACAGCAACCATTTCCTTGCAGAATTCCACACACACAAAGCATAACCCCCCCAACCAAGAAGCAGCATGCAGGAAAAAAAAATTAAAATCAGGTTTGAACTTGGGCATCCAAATCCCAGAGGCAGGCATGGCCACAAGAGAACAGCAACCATTTCCTTGCAGAATTCCACACACACAAAGCATAACCCCCCCAACCAAGAAGCAGCATGCAGGAAAAAAAAATTAAAATCAGCAAAAATCATCAGAGTTTTGCAATACAGTACAGTACAGATATACTGTAAAACCCACAACCCACCCAGGAGAAGAAATGCAAGTTTACCTTTGAAAGTTCTCCAGCACAGAAAGCACCCACAAGACAGGGCAAAGAGGCAAAGCCAACCTTTGAACTGCATGTGGGAAAGTAAACCCAGGATGCATGGGGAAGGCTTTTTATCGCTTCCCTGCACAGGTGCAATGCATCCTGGGTACAGGCAGTTAGAAGAACAAATTAGCATTGCCAAACAGCCACCTTTCCCGCTCTTTTTTGAAAACATCATTAAGTGAAACAGGGGACCCAAAATGCAATCGTTCTGTGAAGCATGGTCCCAAAATCGTTGTGCGAAAATTCCCCATAGGAAACATCGTTGTGTGAGGTGGCAAATTTTTCAGAAAAAGCCATCGTTGTGTGAATTTATCGTTGTGTGAGGCACTCATTGTGCGAGGCACCACTGTATTTGATATTCTATTTGATTCTGGAGATGAAAAGTATAGCTTTACTTTAACATTCATTAATGGTTTGATAATCATGCAGTTTTTTTTTTTTTTTTTTACAGAAACAACTCTGGTTTGTCTGGGCTTGTTTTTTAGTTGTTTCTCTACAACTGTGCACACAAGAAACTATTGGAAGGGTTTCCGATTGTCAAATATTGCATATTTTCTTAAACTACTTCTTTGCTATTGGATTTTAAAAAGATAGAAAAGTAAAGTATGGAATATTTAACTTTTCCTTTTTTAATAGGTAAAATACTACAGACACTTGGCGCCTGATCACCTACTTCAAATATGCCATCGACTGGGACCACTTCTTGAACAAGAAATTCCTCAGAGTGTTCCAGGAGTTCAAACCTTATTAGGGGCTGGAAGACAGTCTTTGCTTCGAACGAATAAAAGTATGAGTAATTTGCAAAGTGATTGATACATTTAGATTGTCATACATTTCTTTTCTTACTTTTTTAAAAAAAAATTATATTAAAACAGGTTGCAAGCATGTTGTGTGGAAGGGATCTGCTCTTGCTGCATTGCACTGTGGAAGACCTCCAGAGTCTCCAATAAACTATGGCAGTCCACCTAGTATAGGTAAGATTATTAAAGATGTGGGATACTGTTCATGCAAGATTTATGCTTGTCTTACATATGTTAGCGCTAGTGCTCATACATCAGTATTTTGGGCTTCGTTTCAGACGTTGGGAACAGGTCCTAAGTATCCAGAATAGAATTGATCAGATTTCTCTCTATATACAGTGGTGCCTCGCATGACGACGTTAATTCGTTCCGCGAAAATCGCTGTAAAACGAAAACGTCGGCATGCGATTTTAAAAAGCCCATAGAAATGTATTAAAATCTGATTAACGTGTTCCTAGGGTCTTCAAACTCACTGTCCAGTGAAGATCCTCCATAGCGCGGCCATTTTCGCTGCCCGTGCAGCAAGGAATCCGTGCCAGAAAATAGTGGGCGGCCAATTTTTTTACTTGGCAGCCATTTTGAAACCGCCGATCAGCTGTGCAAAAATCATCGCTTTGCGATGATCGGTTACCGAAACGGGACCGATCATTGCAAAGCGTAATTCCCCCATAGGGAACATCGTTTTGCAATTGCTTTTGCGATCGCAAAAACATTGACGTAAAGCAATTTCGTTGTCAAACGGAGTGCTCGTAATGTGAGGCACCACTGTATATCCATTCACTTTCCCTCTGTTTTGGAGACTTGAACAGTACGTATGGCCCCTGCTATACAAGGGACTATATTGTATTCCTAAGAAGGATATGGACTGCCAGAACCTCTGTTCTACTTGTATATGGTAAATACTAAATTCCATATTAGATCAGTTTGCATTTCTCTTGATTGCTACATACATTCTCTTCTTCCTTCTTCTTTCTGTCCATCAATCTATTAAGTAGCAAGCCTTTCTCTACCCCCAGATTTTGTCCTGTCTTTGTATTCAGTAATTTCTGTGTAAGAGGGTCCCCAGCGGGGTGAATTTGATTTATAATAATCTTTGAACTTCAGAGCTGGAAGGGCCCCTATGGATCATCAAGTCTAGCTTCAGTCAGAGAGGTACAGTGGGTAATTAAACTTCTACCCTCTGGCTCTGTAGCCAGATGCCAAAACTACTCAGCTATCTAGCAGTTTTAAATAATTTATTTATTTCACGATTTAAATTACTAGCAGGATGGCTAAAAATCAGTGATTATAAAATAAAATTTTAAAAAGTTTTTTAAAAAATATCTGATTGTTTTGATTTTTTTTTAAAAAAAAACACTTTTTAAATCCACTCTAATGGATTTGAATCCTGTCAAATCCACCCTGGCCTCAGGGTTCCATATTGGCATATTTGCATGATGTGGAAAATGGTCAGGGGAAAGCTGTTATCTTTTTCATCCCCCATTCATTTTTAAATTTGTGTTGAATAGAAAGAATGAAAAGTTTGGTGCACCACTGGACATCAGCTCTTGAATATCCCAAAAGATCCCTGAGAAGAATGGGGACAGTCATTGGTAGTCTACATCTCACCCCTGCTTATGCAATAGATTGGCTGCTTAGTGTCTTTTCTCCCCCGTACATTCCTTTCAATATTTTAGAACCATTTTCCCCAGTCAGCAAGTATACTTAAAAGACAGCCATCTTAGGAATATGAAATATTGGAGAAAAGTGCCAGAACCTTATAATTTCTGCAGGTGGTTTAGACTTCATAGTTTTTTGAGACAATAGTGTCTCTTCTTCACACCTTCCCAATAGGCTGAGTAACATCTCTTGTTCATTTGTCGTCATCGAAGATAACACCACAAGACATTCTGCATTACTGTTGCTTTGCATGCATATGACTTAAATTCCCTTTTCAGCATACTCTGTGAAATTAACTGTCACAAAAAGGAAGATGCTCTCCTGCCAGGTTTCATGCCAATAGTTGGCTAGCAATACATAGCAGGATATGCTGTTAATTTAATTTAGAAATTGGACCGATGTTGTACTTGCCAAGAGGATATTAGATGGTGTGGAATGATAATGTACCTCATATGTCTTGGAGGCCTATGTGATGGGTTATTTGGTACCTATGAAGATCTAAATGACTCGATACCAGAAGGATTGCTTGTCTCACTATGAGCCTACCAGTTACAAAGAACAACTTGCTTAGTGACCTAAGTTATTAAACCATGAAGTTGGCTTAATATCCTAATTTTTTCTAGCTGTTCAAGAAAGCAATAAGTCTCATGTGCCTTCAGACATCGTTGTACAAAACGTGTGGAAGGCAGAATGGAACCTACATGTTGGCATCTCTACCAGTCTCTTTGTATTGATAGCCAAGATCTGTAGCAACCAGGACAGGCCTAGTGCAGTTGTAGTACCAAGATCAGAAAACTTGAGATAAATGAAGTCATCAGAGAAAGCTGGCAAAGTTAGTCAAAAGTCAGGAAAATTTTGATTATGTCCTGTAATGCAATTTTAGAGATGTCATGAAAGAGGGCAGTTTGCAGTCATAGCAGCTGAAGCAGGGAAGCTGCAGGTTTGTGTAGCAAACCTGAGTGTATTATGTCCTCATTTAGGTGAACGTGATTAGTTTCACTACACACCTTCACATCAGCATGGTGAGATGAGAGGATAGAGCAAATGCACATGACCCCAACCATTCTCTATATGTTTCTAGTCAGAGTTAATAAAAGTCAGTGAGTTTTAAAAATCTAATTGATTTAAATCATCAATTTCGAAAAATATATAAATTGTGATTTAAGTCAAACCCACCCTTTGTTTTAATCAAAACAGTTGGCAGATTCAGTCTGAACCAGGTGAAACCTATAGTTATTGGAAGTTTTCCTAGTTTATTAGCTTCCTTGTGTGAAAGGAAGAGTGAAAGAGTTTGTAGCCTTGCCGGAAGGCAACAGATTTGAAAATCTGTTGCCTTTTTCAACAGTATGTTATCACAGAATGCTTGAATAGTGCTTCATTTAATTATTTATAACTATAGTACACTTGATTTCATTAGATATTATGTAGAGCTTTTCTCAACATACATTAGTTCACTGCCTAACCAGGTCTTTTGTAGTGTAGTCCTGTTGTCACAAATTGCCTCAAGCCTAAATTTAGTTGCTGGTCCCAACTAGAGTAGAATTAACTTAATTGCTGAATGGTAAGTCAACACTTCTTGTAACACCCATTGATTAAGTGAGCCCACTCTAGTTGCAATTGCATTGTGGTCAGTGTATCTAGGCAATAGCCAATGTATTCTGCCTGCACATCTGGCTGAAATGAAGGGCCATGACTGTCTTTTTGTGACAGCATGTTATATTATTAATACCTTTATAGCAATGGATCACATATTTTGTATCAAAAATAATTATAAGACTTTCATTTGTTGCCATCGGAGTGTGTGGCCAGTGGAATAATGGTGGATCTTCCACTTGCATAAGCGTTGCCCTTATGGAAGTTTTTTGCCAATTACACTTATGTAAGGAGATATGGATAACTATTTGCACAAGTAGTTATCTTGGAGACGACACTACCCTTTCTTCTACTTGCAAATACTTCTTAAAAATGAAACTGATTATACTATGAACATTGCACAACCTGTTCATTCTGGAAAGGATCCTAATCACATCTGTGTTCATAATTAATTTTTTAAAGCCCGGATTCTCTTACAGTGTTTAGATGACAGTGTGAACAAGCTGCTGCCTCAGGTAGTCTGTTTACATAAGAGGGTAAAGAACTGGGAAGAATTACTTTGCATCCAAACTGAGGATCATGATTAAGGATGTACAGGCAATATAGGGTTTGTATGTGAACAACAAATCCTACTTTAAAGCTGATTTGTGATTCTAATTTTTGGACATCTTTAATTATAATGAGATGTAATGTTATGCTATTGCTTACTGGTTTTTTACTCATTCCTGTGAAGAAAGGAGCAAAGTGAACCTGGCATGCTGTTTGTTCACACTATTGGCCAAAATCCTATTGCTTAGTCTACACACTGGAGTAGGCCAATTGAATCAGTGGGGATTTGGTGAGTCAGTTCCTCCATAAGTTCCGTTGAGTCAAACGGACCTAAAGTAAGTTGCAGAAAACATGATTTTAACCATTGTTTATTAAACCAGGATTCCTGTCTTAAAGAGACATGCAAATACAGTGAAAAACCATTTTTTTTTAAAATTATTTTTTAATTTTTTAAAAGCTTTTTAAAGCTTCAAATAATTATAGGACATCTCGTTTTAATAAAAATAAAATTGAAAAGAAGAATGTGAAGATAAAGTCAGTGAGTCTTCATATGGAAGGAATTCCACAGTATGAAAATGATAGGCCATGCTTTTGTTATCAGCAGTTTGAATCAAGCAGAGGTAACAGAGCTTGACTCTAAGATGTAATACGCAGAAGGCTCTTGCTTTAAGTTACAGTACTTTGTATTGGGGATGTCTCTTACTGTAAGTTACTTTGGATTCAGAGCAAGTTGAATAATGTGCATTGTGTTTGAAAAGTCAGTACGAATTTTGGAGGAAATTTAGTTTTTTAAGTAATGTGTTGTCAAATGATCTGTTGCAGATGAGAATACCTGTAGTTCCTGAGCTGTCTTCAAAGGCATCAATTTCCTGCAGCAGCCTACTTGGGAATTTAAATAGCTCATGGCTGCTGGGTGGGGTTCTACAGTTGATAACACTTCTATCAAAATAATTCTCAATTTCTGTTTGATGATTTAAGTCAGTGATTTTGACTGTTGCGCTAATGGTTGAGGTAATTTGGTGAACCCATTTCACTAAGGAAATCAAAAAGGAAAGGAAATCAAAAAGTCAGGATGACCTCTGAACTGGGGCATCGTTCTAGACACTCATGCTCACATTGAGATAGCTGCCTCTTGCCTCAGATGAGCTGCATTCTTTAGGCCTTTATATCACAAAATAAGGTCTAGTAGTTAACTCTTGCTGTTTGCTTCCTAGCTTGAGCTCCTACTTTCCAAGTGGGTGTGTTCTGGCTTTGAGCTGATTATATTATAGCTGGAGTGCTGTGTTCTGAAGCCTGTGATCTTAAAGGTAGCTAACACATTATTTCAGAATCTGACAATTGTTGCTTTGCTTGAAAGGATAGGTTCTTTTAATTATCTTAAGATGTTGCTTATGACATAGGTTTTCTATAGGAATACTCTATTTATTTGTGGTTCTCAAAAACAGTTACCCGTTGCTGGACAGATAACTTAATGTGATATTTAAAATGCATTTTTGTTTTATAGCTGAAACTCTCTTTTCAAGAAAACTAAATGGAAAATACAGGCTTGAACATCTTGTTCCAACTGCTGTGTATCAACATATGAAAATGCACAAGCGAATCCTAGGGCACTTGTCTTCAGTATATTGTGTAACATTTGATCGGACAGGCCGACGAATATTCACGGTAAGTGCAAGTTCATGTAAATGTCTCAATGTATCTGCATTCTTAAGTATTATGTGCTATAGTTATAACTGCTGCAGAAAGATAGGCTATTATATTAAACATGTTCACTTTCTCTATTGTGTTCTGCAGTTCTTTGCAGACACAGAAAGTATTGGATTTTTTGTGTACATGTGTTCACATGCTGCTGTATAGGTATTTAATACAATTTCTTATATTACCTTTGTAGTACTCTGTTTTCCCCAAAATAAGACCTAACCGTAAAATAAGTCTTAGTATGATTTTTCAGGATACTTGTAACATAAGCCCTACCCCAAAAATAAGCCCCACTTAAGTGAAAACCTGCCCTCCACCATTGTGAAGCAACTAGATTACATGACTGTATTTGAATAAATGTAGATTGTTGTACATGAAAAAAAAATCCCTGGAAAATAAGCCCTAATGCGTTTTTTTGAGCATTATTTTCTTATTTTCGGGGAAACACAGTAGTACTTGGGAGTGTGCATATACTTTTGTCTGATATAATTTATATACAGTATATAACATTTTAAAAAATCAGATATTTTGGACTAGTGCCCATTGATCTTTTATTAGGGATAAACTTTTAAAAATAAAGTTTGTTAGATGCTTGATGTTCACTCTTTGACCCCCCTAAAAAAAGAAGACCCTGCCCACACACCTTATTAATGGGTACCGAAATTCAGTAAGTTATCTGTTTGTTCCAGTGAGACATAAAACAGAGAAACAAAAAGGGACGAAACTGTATTTGTCAAAATATATATTTTGGCTGTTTTAAAAGATGTGGTATGTCCCCAAATGTCTCCAGTGGTTATACATATCTCAGGGGTTCCTGTATGTCCCTCCGTGACTTTTGAAGATTGCTGAAGTCTGGAAGAGGCTTAGTGACTCTGACCCCTTTGTTTCTGGTGATCCAGAGAATCAGTTGCGATTATGTATATATTTTAGTCATTTTAAGTCAGCTATAGTTTTCCATTTAAGCATTTACTGTACTTAGTCACAGTATACCAAACTAGGTTTGTAAGATTAGCCATTCCATTTGGTTTCCTATATCTAGCGTAATAAATGAGCTATAATTCTTTTTACTGATTTATTCATTTCATTTCTGTTCTGCCTTTCTCCCAAGATTAGGACCTATGACAGCTTAAATAAGCAGATACAACTAGAAACACAATACATTATAATATTAAAAGATAGCCAAGGAGATGATTGTATTAAAACAAAGAGCCAATGGAAAACCAATCAGGAAAAAACAATCATTAGGGAAAAAAAAGCACAGCAATTGATGTTGAAAAGCCCTTTCTTTAGCTTTTCAGCTAGTTATCTAAAGTATGTTTGAGTAAAAGGATCTTTGCCTTTCAGCAGGGAAGAAGCCAGACTAACTTTCATTGGAAGGGAGTTCTGTAGTCCAGGAGCAGCTACCAAGAAAAGCTTCCCTTTTGTTCTCACCAGATGTGCTTTTGAGGGTAATGGGACCTCCTCTGAGGATGTCAAAACCCAAGCAGACTCTTAAAAATATACATGGAAAATGTAGTCATTTTAGAATACTGTTGCTTGGATATAAAGAACTGTGGATAGGATTCTGCTCAGTGCATTCCCTTGCACTCTCTGAAAAGCTACAAGGAAAAGTATAGTACAAGGGAGGAAAAAAAGCTATGTATGAATGAGGTAGGAATAGGTGGCTCACTAAAATTTGGGAAGATCTTGCTTGTTCAAGAGACTATTTGGATCCAAATGAATATATCTGTATAAACCCCTTAAATGCAGTAGCTTTTAATTGGGCAGTATTTACAGTAAATCTTTTTTTAAGGGTTCTGATGATTGTCTTGTGAAAATCTGGGCGACAGACGATGGAAGGTTGCTTGCTACTTTAAGAGGACATGCAGCTGAAATATCTGATATGGCGGTTAATTATGAGAATACGATGATTGCTGCAGGAAGCTGTGACAAGATGATCAGAGTGTGGTGTCTTCGAACTTGTGCCCCTTTGGCTGTTTTGCAAGGCCACAGTGCATCCATAACGTCACTGCAGGTATTAGCTTCCTTCTGTATCATAAACTCGGAAATCATTTTATCACAAAAGAAAGTTCATTGAGTGAATATTTTGAAAAGTAAAAGAGATTTCTTAAACTGAAGACTATATTCTTCTCACTTGAAATCCTGTCAATGGTGCTACCAAATCCTGACTAGAGAGCAGGTCCAGGGGGTGATGGAACTGATAGCACCATGGTCATATTGGTGAATACACCTTTCTTTTCATCAAAGAAAAGCTTCAAGAATGGTAGCTAGACATTCAGGGCTCCAGGCATGCACCATGCAGATTTAGATTAAAGATTAGTATTTGTTGAGCCATTGCTTTTTGGAGTCTGTGACCAATAGGAACACGCAAGAGGGATGGGAAGATTGTGCCAGTACTACCACTTTCATTTCCATATTGGCTGTATGCTGCCAGAGATATTGTCTGATTGATTCAGGTGTCAACTACCCAAAATTAGCAAATGAAACACTTCAGCTGGAATTCTATTATATATTTATGCTAGCATGTCTCCATAACCATAAATGTCAGCAGCAAGTCAGTTCAAGTATTTGCTGTTGCATATTGAGTCTCACAACTGCTGTCTAATTACAGATGGTTGTGCTGACTTTTTAACTTGTGAGAATTTGCTACTGAAATTTATGATGAAGTTACATTGGCAGACTTGTCTAACAGGATTCTGGCCTTAAATTTAAGATACAGACTTTTGGGGGGGAAGAAGAATTTCCACCCCACAGCAAAAAACTGTCAGTTAAAAAAACAAACAAATGGGACTGTCAGGGAGAAGATGGCTAGGAAAAGTATAGAACCTGGGTCCTCCTCAGCTAACCTAAATGCTGCAGTAATTGTAATATGTAATTGATCTGAGGACTTGATTCTTGTCAATCAGATATCAAATGTCTTAGATGTAGGCTTCTAAAAAAAATGAACACAGAATGATAGAGGAGGAGCTGGAATTGTTCATGTGTAAGACAGTGTTTGTGTGTGTGTAATAAGAGAGAGAGGTGGAGAAAATGAAAATGAGCTTTTTCACGCAGTGGAGAGCTTTCTGACAGTTTTACATGTGGCTGATTAAGTGACTTTTTATAGAAGGGGTAATTATGATATAGATTTCGGTTTATTCTGAAAGTAATTTTGATCACTTGTTTCCACTGTTGGTTAAAAATCAAAGATTTATAAATAACTTTGTTTGTCTTGCAGTTTTCTCCACTGTGCAGTGGCTCAAAGCGTTACCTGTCTTCAACTGGGGCAGATGGCACAATATGTTTTTGGCTGTGGGATGCTGGCACCCTTAAAATAAAGTTAGTTTCTTCCTGCACTATTTTAGTATTTAGGATCACTGCAGCTGCCTTGTAATTTGCTTTTGGAAGCTTAGCTCATTTTTGTCATTTTTATGCATTCACCCCGATTAGTCTATACCTGCACATGGCCACCCCTTTTGGAGTCTTCTAGACTGCACACACACACCCAAAGTACATACTCTGGCACATCTTTCCCTCCATTGTTCCATATCAACCACATCCTACAAGAACCTCTCTGAGAGTCCTGCCAAAATTTCGAGACCACTGTTGTAAATTATTCATTCATTTTGTATGGCTATGACTACTATTTATATATAGTAGTTAGTTAAGTCCCCTTCAGATCTTTATAGCTAATAATCCTGGAGCCTTTTTCAAATATTGTATGAAGTATCAGCAGATTCTCTTTACTGACATCCATCAGAAGTTCTTGTATATAGGGTAAGTACTTTCCTTCCAAACAAGAAGAAATAGGACCACTAGACTTAAATTCTTCCTCTTTAAGATGGCACTTGCCACTTCTGTAGCCTCTTTGGGACAGATGGAACAGATCTAAAATTGTTTACATCTGTTCTGAGGATCTTGATAACAATATTCCCATTTTTAACAGCTGGCACTACCATATCATTATCTGAAGTGACTGACTCAGCAGGCCTTGGTGCCATTGCCAACAGCAAGCCACTGGTGTTGATTCAGCACAATGAGACTTTCTCAGTATCAATCTTGTTGATACTAAAGTTAAATAAATAAAGCACAAGGTGGGCAAATCCAAAGGGACTGAGACATCAGATTTACCTAAAAAGAAGGAAAAGAAAGGACAACACACAAGTCGACTAAGACTGGACACTGATGAGGGGCAGATAACTTACTCAGAGCCATCCAAAGAGGTCCTTCCATCAACAACACACAGTTTCTCTAACTGCTGTTAAGCCTTCTCCTGATGTGATGGTATAAGGCCCAGCATTAGAGGGTGAGGAAGACAATCAAACAGCAGTATCAATCCAGCAGTACACACTTGAGCTGGCGCTACCTTCTTGTCAGTTCTTTTGAAAAAGCACACCGGTTGTAGCTATCCTCAATCCAGAATACCACAATCATGTGGCTCCTCATGGGGATCAATAGATAGAAGCAGCTGTGATGGAAGAGCTCATGGTATAACAACTTTTGTACCATTCAAGTTGTCTGTGCGACTACAAGTGATGTTGCTTACCAACACCCTGATTGTTACTAATTTCTGTATTATGGGCATTGCTGATACTTCCTGAATTGGTCTTTGTACGTTCATCTACCTAGAACACAAAAAATGTCAACTAACTACTAACACACAATATCAACACAGCTTTCGGTACCAAAGCTCCTGCTTTGTCGGAACTGACCATGCCACAACCTACATCCACTACAGCATTGACGACCTTTTATATACCTTTCACCTTGATACTGTTGTTTTGAGGAAAATCTTCATTCAGATTCTGATTTGTACAATATTTCAAAAATGTTAAAGTTCTTTCATCACGGGTAGCTCCAGAAATCTCTGTCAGACCTATACACCTGGTTATTTCAACCACAGTCTGTGCAGTAGAACAAACCTCCATTTCAACACACTGGATCTAACACCGACTTAGTGAATTAACCCGGTTGGTCTGCCCTGAAGTACAACAGCAGTCTTCATCACCAGATCCATTGGTTGCTCCAAATGACCTTTTGTGTCCATCAGAGATCTCTTAGTGTACTTTGACATGTTGATTAGATTGAAGGAATTTGGGACGTACCATCCTTCAGGCAGAAGGCTCCTGAAGATGACCTTGTATTTTTATTTATCTAAATCTAGAACACTGCTCCATTTGGCTTGCCTGTGCTCTCCTTCTTGTTAAGATCATCTCATGAGATTTATCAGAAATATTGGGTATCTCTATGAAATTGTTCTCTGGATAAATTATGCAGGTTCCAGGAAGAAGATTGTGTGCACCTTTTCCAATATCTGATACTGAACTCCATAAAAGTTACTTCCTACATACAGGAAAATGTCATTTGTCCACTTGATAGAGAGGGAAAAAGATTTGACCTTTTGCTGTGTGAAGCCTATTCTGGAGCAGTGTAGTTGGTAAAGATTGCAAGTAAACAGAAGGGGCCATATCAGCCATTGGGATATCAGCCATTCCTGAGGAACAAGGTGACAATCTATCATGAATCACTTGCCAAATGCTATGAAGTATGTTGTGTTATTTACAAAAGAGGCATCTAGTATATCTAGACAGCAGCTGGTATGCAGCTGACTCAGCTTAAAGCTCTGGAAGGAGTAGTTCAATTTTGTCCATGTTGCCAGGTTTTAGTCACCAGTCTATTGCAGGGTAATAGAGACAAACATACCGTATTTTTCGCTCCATAAGACGCACTTTTCCATAAGACGCACCAATTTTTTACAAGAAGAAAACAGGAAAATATAATCTGTTTTCTTCGCTCCATAAGACGCACAGACTTTCCACCCCCCTGTTTTGTGGGGAAAAAGTGCGTCTTATGGTGCAAAAAATACGGTATATCCTTCTGCAACCAGGGTCTTTTCCCATCTAAGACCAATTAAAAATTGGATATAGGTGACATATTAGCCGCTGGTGCCAGAAAGGGAGTCCTTTCATCTGCCTCCCACTCAAGCAGCTGACTTGGAGTAAATATCAGGTTTACTGTTGGTGCAGTTAAGGTGGTTCAGCCTCCAGGCCCCAGAAGCTGTGTTGAGCATGTATGTCCTCTATTATTGACCTCAGTAGCCTTCATATTACTTTGCCTAGGCTTCATGCTCTGGAGAAGACACTCCTCTATTCAGAACATGTTACCATAGTCTCTCGAGACTGAAGGATGCCTATGGAAGTAGCCTTCATCTATTAATACTAGGAGGAGACCTACTGGAGGAAAGAAGGTTTTGATGATCATGCCAGCATTGTCATCTCACATATAATTGTGGAAAATGTGTGAAATTGGGAGTGTTCTTTACCACCAGACCTCCTCTATTGATACCAAGCCTACCAATCTTTGGTATCAGGCTTGCTCAGTATCATGAAGCATGGAACATCATTGGATCAGAAGGTCTTTGATATAGTCCACTGGAGGCTATCAGAGTTTGGCTGCCTTCCAACAGTGAACACATTCTGTTTGACATCATTGTATTCCCTGAAGATAGGAGATTGACGTTGCAGTCTCATTGGTCACTACTGGTCCTTCTTGGGACTGAAAGAGAAGAGAGGATTGATCCATTCTAAACTTCTAAAATGCCAGTTCTTTTATTGTTACAAAATAATTTTTAATTGTCTGTGGCCAATCTTCTTATCCTTCTCAGAGAGAATGATTGGTCTGCAACCCATAAACTTGACAAATGTTTAATTCCCCATAGCCATGTACTCTTCCCATCAGAAGCACCTTCAGTTTGCCTTGGGAGAAATGTACTGTCTGTACCAAGTTCTAGCTTTCAGCCTGTCTGTTACACTGACTTTTTTTTTTTTTTTTTTTTTACAAAACCTGTTGCTTTGGTGAGAGCAAACCTAAGAAGGCAAAGTATACCAATATTTTCCTATATTGATAGCCGACTAGTCATTGCTCTTACTAAGTTGCATGTTCAGTATCCACTCCACATCATTACTTGTCCTGATGGCCTCGATAGTTTCCAGTCTTTGTTTTGCCAGATTGCAGCGAGACCTCTGCAGGCATGGCTTCCAACTTCACTACAATTCTGTCTTCAGTATCAGTTGAATGCAACTAACGGTGCTATTTGAAGTTTTACTTTCACTTTGGTGGTGGTCCAAGTTACTGAACATGACCTCAGCTGAGTGTAACAATTACAACAGATACTTCCAAAAAGGGCAATATCATCATTGCAGCAACATTCTCGTTCATATTCCAGGGGAGTGTTCCAACCTGTTGAGCAGAATATACAGATGTACATGAATGGGAGCTTCATCCAGTCTTGCTCTCCGTGCTCCCCTGCTGGTCAGCACACCTGCTCATTGAGCTAAATAGAGTTGCACTATGAGAATGGATCAGTCTTATCTTAAGAAGTGTTTGGAGAAAGTAATACTAAAACTGGATATAATTTTCTTGTGCAAATTTGAGTCCCTCTTCCATCTTGCACAGGATTTTGTACTTCTGATGTATTCCCATTGCCTTTTACATCAATGAAGACCTTCACGGTTTGGAGACAGCACTGGCTTTCTACACGTAGACAGTAGCCTTACCTGGGAAGTCTCCTTGGCTTTTTCTTGGGGGAGGGGGACATTCTGAACCCAAGAAGTGGCAGACTATTTCTGCCAGATGATTCGCAAAGTGGATCTTTGGCTCATCAACTGGCCAAACTATTTCTCCGTAACACCCATAGAAGCCATTCCACCAGGGCTATAGCCAGCCAAAAAGCAAACAAACAAAAAACAGTTTATTTGAGAAAGGTTTCTTTATCTGAATTGTGCAGAACTGTGACCTTGTCTCAGATGTGAATGCATAGAGAACACAGTGAAGAAAACCAGGTGGCTTTTGTAAAACTTTGTTATTTGAGTGATCTAAGCCCCACTAAATTTAAAGGGAGTTAATCCCAGGTAGTCTGGAATAGAACTGAACCAGTGTGACTGATTTGAGAGGAGTTGTGCATGGAATTGCTCTGTAGAATGGTGCTTCCCAACTTTGAGTCCTGGAATTCTGCCCCTTTTGGTGATGTCATCACTCTTCTGAAAGTGTAACATGTATAATAGGATTTCTGTGAGTGTTTACTATTTTACTGATTTAACTGGTAATATGTTGTTAAAATAAGTTTTTAAAAAACTTTAGCTAAACATAAGCATTCATGTAAATAATTAAAGTATAACAGGCTAAAGTCTAAAATTACTGTATTTGCTGTTGTATAAGACTACTTCTTTTGCCCTGAAAAACATGCCTCCAAGTGGGGGGGTCGTCTTATACGCCGGGTGCACTTCAGTTGGGATAGACATAGCTGCCCATAGTGGTCTTCCGATGCTCGCCCGGTGCCCATAGTAGCCTCCTGATGCCTGCCCACCTCATTCTACATACCGTCCAGTATCCAGCATGGCCGCGGTGAGCATCAGCAGCGAGACGGAGTGCCAGGCTTTTTGACGTGACTGGCCCGTTCTGCTCGGCAGGAAGCAGTGGCGCTCCGCCCCGCCCCTTGTCTACGCAGAGCTCACACATACGCACTTGCGCACTAGTGCCGGTCACGGAGATGCAGGGGCGGGCCGGAGGTGCTGCAGTCGCGCTGCGGCCGTACAATGGTGACAATGAATAGCACCTTTTATTTGGTGTGTGGAAGGTGTGCGGAAGAGAGGGTAGTGTTATATGGCAAGTATGTAACTATATTTTGAGTGGAAATGTTGGGGGGTCGTCTTATACACCCAGTCGTCTTATACGCCGGCAAATACGGTAAATCTGACTCAATTGCTTAATGCCTGACTTTTGCAATGTGGCTGCTTCATCACAATGAACAAGTGGCTCCTACACTGATCTTTACTGCTTGTCTGTAAGACTATTATAAATATATGTTAGACAATAATATTGCTACAGGTTTAGCATAATATTTTTATTTTTAATATTTTGACTAGTTCAGTTGCTATCTTAAATTGCTTGGAGAAATTTAACTTTTGGTGTGTTTTTTAAACTTTGCAGTCCAAGGCCAACAAAGTTTACAGAACGTCCAAGACCTGGAGTCCAAATGATCTGCTCTTCTTTTAGTGCCGGTAAAGTGTCCACCTTCAGCAAAACCACACCAATTTTATGAGCATTTTTGGAATGTGATGAAGAGTAGTATTTATACCTGAAATATATTCAGCTTAACTTCTTGTTATAGCATCCTTCTGAGTGGAAGTTCCATTGTGTGGCATCTTGAAAGGGGAACTATTAACTGGGAGTGTTTTTTAATAAATGCATTAGCAGTATATGTTCATTGCCTATAAAAGCAAAATTGCTAAAGATGTAGATGGTATCTAAAAAGAGTCTTTACACATTATACTCAGCCTTAATAACAAATTTGAAGAGCATTAGGATGGTCAAATGATAGCAATTTTTTGTGTTATCATTTCATTGTAGTCTGTGTGTGGGTTGTAGCAGATGTTATGAAGTTAGATGTAAGACTATCAGAATACTAAGCAGCATGGTGCTATGTTGATATTTATTTCACTCTTGCTTTTCTTTAGGTGGAATGTTTCTGGCCACTGGAAGTACAGATCACATCATTAGGGTTTATTTCTTTGGATCAGGTCAGCCAGAGAAGATATCAGAGTTGGAGTTTCATACTGTAAATACCTCCTCAAAATTGCTTAACTATTTGTCTGAAAAACATTAGCATATTGTAGTCATGGTGTTAATTTTCTTCTTGTTTACACAGGACAAAGTGGACAGTATTCAGTTTTCCAACACTGGTAATCGGTAAGAAAATTAACAACTTGTGTATAGTCTTATATTTCTTTATACTGTGTTTACAAAAAAACATGCATTCATGTCTTCCCTCCTCCCTCACAGTTTAATCTTCCAAGATTTTAAAATGGTCAACTTTGGCAAAATGGTGTACTCAGTATGTTTGGCCTATTTAAAGCGCTAAAGGAGCATGCCTTGAAGGGCTTTATATATTGTTCAGCACAGTTCTGTATATATTTTGTTGTTATGTAGTCGTTAAGTCTTGTCCAACTCTTCGTGACCCCATGGACCAGAGCACGTATATATTTACCCAGAAGTAAATTCCATTCAGGAGGGTTTATTCCTAGGTAAACATGCAAAGAATACTAGCTTCACTAATGTCAAATGTAAGATCTTATAGCTATTTCATTATGGCTTATCATATAAAGTAAAGCCTACCCTGATATCTTTTTCTGCGAAAGAAGGCTTTCAACTCTGCATCGTAGTGTATGCCCCAAACTGATTTTGAGCCAGAAAGGAGTGACAGTGAGAAACAAAGACTTAGATAGTGGCTGTCAATTGCTGCTTTAGTATGTCCCCACCAGGCATGGGTAGTAATCCAAGAGAGATGTATCTGTATTGTCCTGCATTAGTAAGATTTTTTCCAAGTACATTGAAAAATGAAAAAAAAAAAAACAACTTTATTTGTGTGTATCATTAAACTTATAAATAGAGTTTCATTCATAAATTGTTTCATACAATTCAGTATCTTTGTATAAACGTTTTTAAAACTTGGGTCACTCTGGTCAACCTTAAGAGCTAAGATGGTTTACACTAAATTGTTAAAATCAATTCAAGAAATAAGCATGTTAACAATAATGTAATTACATCAAATTATACAACTGTGAGAACAAAAAAAAATATTATAGACACCTGCAATATACTGTACTATAAATAGATCAGTAAAATATATCAGATCTAGTTTAAAAAATACTTAAAAGGTTCTAGAAGCATATAAATAGCTGCATTTTTGAAGCACCATCTAGGAAAGCAACAAGTAATTGAACAGGGCGGATGTTCTTTATTTAGGAAGTATAGTTGAGAAGGTCCTCCTCTTAACTGCCTTGTTTCTAAAGCTTGAGGCACTCTGAGCAAGGCCATCTAAGACCACAGCAGCTGGGTATGTTTGCATGAGAGCAGACATTCCTTCACATATTCAGGACACAAAGCCATTTATGGCTTTATATGTTAGTGTGGGTATTTTAAGTTATGCTTAAACAAGTGGAAGTTAATGAAGGTGTTTAAAAATGAGCAAAATACAGCCCTGCGTAGTGTTCTTACTTTGTTCTGAATCAGTTGCAGCACTGTTGCAAAAGCATTTCCATTGTTCACAGCATAATATGTATATATTACTTCACAGTTTTGAAAAATACTTTACCTAAAGGACCAGCTGATTTCAATAATTTTACTTCCTTCATTTAAAGGAAAGCTTTTTTGTTCTGTCTGGTGCACCATTTCTTAGGTCTTTTGCATTGTGATGGCTTTCTGAAGTCTGGGCTATGATACCACCTTTGCTTCTTCCTCTTGTCTATCATCTTTAGCTAGTATCTTCTTCATTTAGTGACTGAAATCATGTTGCTTAGTGTAATTACTCACCCTAGAGTAGGCCCATTGAATCATTGGGGATTTGGTGCATTACCTTTTATGTAAATTCCATTTAGTCCAGTGGGCCTATTCTAGGGACTAATTGCCCTAAATTAAGGCACAGCTAGCATAGGTCCACTTGAATAAGTGGAACTTACAGAGGAACTAAATTAATACACTAAGCTACAGGATTTCAGCCAATGTGTTTTTGCTTCCTTTTGTGATTTTGTCCCATTCATTTATAATGAATGAAATAAAACACAGATATTAATACTCGAAATATATTTCAGTTTCTTAGGAAATACTGTAACAATGAGCTGTGAAAATGTTCTCTTGTTAATAAATGAATAGTTTCAGTAAATAAATTGAACATTCTTTGAGTGATACGAGGAAGCTAGATGATGTTCACTTACTTCTATTGTCTCCACAGTTATTCATGTGTCCAGTAAAATCTAAAGTTTTTAACCTAGCAATCAGAAATAATAAATAGATTACAATATTTCTTTGGTACGTACTGGACTTTGGTTTGATTTTTAGCACAATCTGTACTGAACGTCTTTGCAGGATGATTGGGTTATAAAAAATAACGAAGTATATTCTCTCTTCTTCACTTTCTTAGATTTGTCAGTGGAAGTCGTGATGGGACAGCACGTATCTGGATGTTCAAGAGAAGGGAATGGAAGAGTATTTTGTTAGATATGGCTACCCGTCCTGCAGGGTAAATCATTTTGTTAGCTTAATGGCAGTTTAAAATACTTTCCTTCTTATTGGTATTGGTATTCATGTCTTGGTGAAATATCATCGTTCAGTGGTAGAGCCAGTGCTTGGCATGAAGATGCTCAGTACCTAGTGTTTCTAGTTAAAAAGACAGGTACACAACAAAGTGAAAGGAAAGTCCAATGCTGCAAAGGAAAATACTGCATAGGAATCCAATGTAGACCTTTCAACATCACTGTAATCCAAGTTTATGCACCAACCACCAATGCTGAAGAGGCTGAAATTGACCAGGTCTGTGAAGACTGACAACACCTTCTAGAACTGACACCAAAGAAAGATGTTATTCTCATTATAGGAGACTGGAATGCTAAAGTAGGGACTCAAGAGATAAAAGGAACAACAGGTAAGTTTGGCCTTTGAGTTCAAAATGAAGCAGGGCCAACTCTAAGAGAATTTTGTCAAGAGAACAGGGTGGTCATCACACTATTTTCCAACTACACAAGAGGCAACTCTACACATGGACATCATCTGATGAGCAATACCGAAATCACATTGATTATGTTCTCTGCAGCCAGAGATGGAGAAGCTCTATACACTTAGCAATAAGAAGACCTGGAGCTGAGTTTGGCTCTGATCAGCAGCTTCTTACAGCAAAACTCAAGCTTAAACTGAAGAAAGTAGGAAAAACCACTGGGCTAGTCATGTATGATCTAAACCCAATCCCTGATGAATACACAGTGGAAGTGAAGAACAGATTTAAGGAAGTCAATTTGGTGGACAGAGTGCCTGAAGAACTATGGATGGAGGCTCATAACATTGTACAGGAGGCAGCAACAAAAATTATCTCAAAGAAAAGAAAATGCTGGAAAGCAAAATTGCTGTCCAACGAGGCCTTACAAATAGCAGAGAAGAGAAGAGAAACAAAATACAAGGGAGATCAGAAAAGTTACAAAAAATTGAATGCTGACTTCCAAAGAATAGCAAGGAGAGACAAGAGAGCCTTCTTAAATGAACAGTATAAAGAAATAGAGGAAAATAATACAAATGGAAAAAAGCAGAGATCTGTTCAAGAAAATTGGAGATATGAAAGGATCCTTTTGTGCAAAGATGGACATGATAAATGACAAAAATGGTAGGGACCTCACAGAAGCAGAAGACATCAAGAAGAGGTGGCAAGAATACACAGAGGAATTATACCAGAAAGATCTGGATGTCCCAGACAACCCAGATAGTGTGGTTGCTGATCTTGAGCCAGACATCCTGGAGAGTGAAGTTAAGTGGACCTTAGAAAGTATGGCTAACAACAAGGCCAGTGGAGGTGATGGCATTCAAGTCAAACTATTTAAAATCTTAAAAGATGACGCTGTTAAGGTGCTATACTCAATATGTCAGGAAGTTTGGAAAACTCAGCAGTGGCCAGAGGATTGGAAAAGGTCAGTCTATATCCCAATCCCAAAGAAGGCCAGTGCCAAAGAATGCTCCAACTGCCGTACAATTCCACTCATTTCACACGCTAGCAAGGTTATGCTCAAAATCCTCCAAGGTAGGCTTCAGTAGTATGTGGACCAAGAACTCCGAGAAGTACAAGCTGGATTCCGAAGGAGCAGAGGAACTCAACCAAATTGTTAACATGTGCTGGATTATGGAGAAAGGCAGAGAGTTCCAGAAAAACATCTACTTTTGCTTCATTGACTACACAAAAGCCTTAGACTATGTGGACCACAACAAACTATGGCAAGTTCTTAAAGAAATGGGAGTGTCTGACCACCTTATCTATCTAATGGGAAATCTGTATGTGGGATAGGAAGCAACATTTAGAACTGGATATGGAACAACTGATTGGATATGGAACAACCTCTTAATGAGGGTGAAAGAGGAGAGCGGGAAAAATGGTCTGAAGCTCAACATCAAAAAACCAAGATCATGCCCACTGGTCCCATCACCCCCTGGCAAATAGAAGGGGACGATATGGAGGCAGTGACATATTTTCCTTCTTGGGCTCCATGATCACTGCAGATGGTGACAGCAGCCACGAAATTAAAAGACATCTGCTTCTTGGGAGGAAAGCGATGACAAACCTAGATAGCATCTTAAAAAGCAGAGACATCACCTTGCTCACAAAGGTCCGCGTAGTCAAAGCTATTTTTTCCCCAGTAGCGTTGTGTGGAAGTGAGAGCTGGACCATGAAGGCTAACTACGGAAGAATTGAAGCTTTTGAATTGTGGTGCTGGAGGAGACTCTTGAGAATCCCCTGGACTGCAAGGAGATCAGACCTATCAGTTCTGAAGGAAATCAACCCTGAGTGCTCACTGAAGCTGAGGCTCCAGTGCTTTGGCCATCTCATGAGAAGAGAAGACTCCCTGGAAAAGATCCTGATGTTGGGAAAGTGTGAAGGCAAGAGGAGAAGGGGACGACAGAGGACAAGATGGTTGGACAGTGTCATTGAAGCGACCAACATGAATTTGACCCAACTCCGGGAGGCAGTGGAAGACAGGAGGGCCTGGCGTGCTCCGGTCCATGGGGTCACGAAGAGTCGGACATGACTTAATGACTAAACAACAACAACAACCCAGCAAAGGCTAAGAGGAGAGTAAGCAACAATGGTGTTAGGCAGGCGAACATGCTGACCTAGTGTAAGTTCATTTCCTTTGCATGGGACATGTAATCAGTTTGTTTTCTTTTTTCTTCAGTGTAACTGTTCCCTAAGTGGCCTTAATGATTCTACAACTGCTACCAGTACACCTATACATGAGATAAAGAGCTGCTATAAATCACAGCAGGAATGCCGGTTTATTTATAAATCAACTGGCCTAATTGCACATACTTAGGATTGGCACAAATGTAGTTCTAGTAGCCTCTTAATTAATTAACAACAATTAAGAGAATTGACTGTGGAACAGTGCACTATCTGTCTTTGTGGGGAGTAGATCATGGAGTTCTGGGATCCAAACCTGTCTGAATCCACTGCAAACATTATTATAATTAAATAGTTTTCAGTCCTTTAAATGAGATGTTCTTTAGAAATGGCTCCTAGCAATTTTTAGATAGCAGAACTTCCAGAGGCTCTTGCAACATGCACAGGAAAGGAAAGCCCATCTGTTTACTTCCTGTATAATGGGGCTCTTGCTCATGATAGTGTGGGCTTTGTTGATATCCCTCTCCCTGTCACATTATTCTGCTTTTGAATAATTGTGAGGGAGATGAAATTCAGCTTGAAAGGAAATTCAATGGGAAAGGTGTGTTGGTAATTCACAAATTGCCTTCTGTGAGAGACCTTCCCCTCAAACTTGAGCATTGATGATGATGAAACTTTCAAGTTCTGTACACAGCCAACCTGGTAGAAGCACTATTTCAAGTGGCTGGCTTCTTTTAGTCTGGACTTTAGCACTGTAGACGCTGGTAACTCATGTGTCACTATTAGAAAACATCCTCTTGGAGCATGGTATAGATAGCTTCCCTGTTCCCCTTTGAAAGCATGAGCATAGAGAATTTGAGCCCACCCTACCAGTCACTGTTTCCATGTTCAGAAGGACAGTCTGAATATCAGACAGTCTGTTTCATGTGGAAATTCTCCATGCAGTTGATTACTTTTGTAGATGCATGGAGGGAATCCACACATAGCAGAAGCTTTCCCCTGTACACTGTCTGTCTATATGGTGACAGTGACTGTGGAGGCAGGGCTAGAAGTCGTCCTGCTCATGCTTTCAAATGAATCCATTTTTTTGAATGCATGAATAGTGCTACTGTTGATGAAAAGTCCCTCCAGATAGCAGTGGAGTGTTTGGAGAGAGTTTCTTCATTCCTCTTTAGAATTGAAATATTCACATGAAATGGTGAATCCTAGGCATATGAGAGGCCATGCATGCAACAGTTGTAGCTAAAAGGGAACAAGCCCATCTCAGCTGTGATTAGGAAGATGTGCACTACTGTGTCGTTGCATGAAATTCAGTAAGCAGTCCACCTGTGTTGGAAATGTACAGTGGGATATGTATAAATGTTCTGTTGTATAAGAGCTAAGGTTAACTAAGACACTAAAAGCAATAAAAAGCATTCTTCAGGTATGTGAGTAGCAAAAGACAAAAGAGATAGTGGCACAGCTCTGCAATGGAGATGGAAAAATGATAAGAGAGGACAAAGAAAAGGCAGAGGTGCTTAATTCCTATTTAATTCCCTCTTTTCCCATAAGACAGACTATGAACTTCCAAACAAATTGGAAATGCGTGTGTGTGTGTGTGTGTCTCCAGGATTTCAGCTGGAGATAGATAAACAAATAGTCAAGGCATATCATACCTCCTTGAACAAGTTCAAATCTCCAGAACCGCATGGACTGCATCTGAGAGTGCTGAAGGAACTAGCTGAAGAACTCTCAGAACTGCTATCTGTTATTTTCTTGAAATCATGGGGAATGGGTGAGGTGCCAGAGGATTGGAGGGGGCCAATGTTGTCCCTGTCTTCAAAAAGGGAACTGACTGGCCTGGGAACTACAGGCCAGTCAGCATGACATCAATCGCAGGCAAAATTCTGGAACAGATCGTAAAGTAGTCATTGTGCAAACGCCTAGAAAATAATGCAATAATAACTAGAAGCCAACACGAATTTGTCGAGAACAAATCCTGCCAAACTGATCTCATTTTTTGATCAGGTCACCTCCCTGATAGACAGAGGGAATGCTGTAGATGTAGTATATCCTGACTTCAGCAAAGCTTTTGACAAAGTACCCCATGATCTCCTGATTAGCAAGCTAGGTGTGGGCTGGATAAATCAAGCCACCTAGAATGGTCGAAATGACTAGATAGGCGGGGGATAAATACAATAAATAAATAAGTGTCAGGTGGATACACAGTTGGCTAGAGAAGTGTATTCAGAGGGTTATGATTAATGGGTCCTTCTCTAACTGGGAGGAGGTCACAAGTGGGGTACCCCAAGGCTCAGTCCTGGGCCCGGTGCTCTTCAATATTTTTATTAATGACTTGGATGAGGGAATGCAGGGAATGCTTGTGAGATTTGCAGATGATACCAGAATAGCTAATGCCCTAGAAGACAGAAACAAAATTCAAAACGACCTTGATAGGATGGAGCACCGGGCTGAAAGCAACAGAATGAAATTCAACAGGGATAAATGCAAAGTATTGCACCTGGGGAAAAAAACCAATTGCACAGTTACATGATGGGGGGATACCTGGCTTAGCAAAAGTACAAGTGAGAAGGATATTGGAATTGTCGTAGATCACAAGCAAAGTATGAGTCAACATTGTGATGTGGCTACAAAAAAGGCAAATGCTATTTTAGGTAAAGGTAAAGGTTCTCCTTGACAATTTGTCCAGTTGTGTCTGACTCTAGAAATCGGTGCTCATCTCCGTTTCCAGTCCATAGAGCTAGTGTTTGTCCGAAGACAATCTTCCATGGTCACGTGGCCAGTGCAACTAGACATGGAACACCGTTACCTTCCCACCGTGGTGGTACCTATTTACTCGCATTTTTGCATTTTGCATGCTTTTGAACCGCTAGGTTGGCGGGAACTGGGACAAGCGACGGGGGCTCACTCCGTCGCTTGGATTCAATCTTACGACTGCAAGTCTTTTGACCTTGCAGCACAGAGGCTTCTGTGGTTTAACCTGCAGCGATACCATGTCCCACCTAAAATGCTATTTTAGGCTGCATTAATAGATAACCTGTATAGTTTCCAAATCCCGTGAGGTGCTAGTCCCCCCCTATTCAGCACTTGTTAGGCCTCACCTTGAGTATTGCGTCCAGTTTTGGACTCCACATTTCAAGAAGAATGCTAACAAATTGGAACAAGTTCAGAAGAGGGTGACAAGGCTGATCAGGGGGCTGGAAACCAAGCCTGTGAGGAAAGGCTGAAAGAATTGGGCATGTTTAGCTTTGAGAGTTTACTGCATCAAGGCCTGGCATGCTCTGGTCCATTGGATTACAAAGATTGGATTGGACACTACTTAACGACTAAACAACAAGAAGCCTTGCGAAAAGAAGACTGAGGGGTGATATGATAGCACTTTTCAAATATTTGAAAGGCTGTCATACAGAGGAACGGCAAGATCTGTTCTCAGCCATCCCAGAGTGCAGGACATGCAACAATGGGTTGAGGTTAAAGGAAGCCAGATTTCATTTGAATATCAGGAAAAACCTTCTACCTGTTAGAACAGTATGACAGTGGAACCAGTTATCTCAGGAGTTGGTGAGTGCTCCAACACTGGGGGCATTCAAGAAAAACTTAAATAATCCCCTGGCAGATATGCTTTGATTGTATTCCTGCATTGAGCAAGAGGCTGGACTTGATGGCCTTGTAGGCCCCTTCCAACTTCACTTTTCTATCATTCTATAAACTAGAGCCCACCAGAGGCTTTCTCTAGCTCCCACAAGCCTTGTCTAGCACATGAAATGACTTGATTTCAGCTCAATGCGTCAAAAGATTTCCTACCATGAGACTTTATTAGCTTACTAAAGAAGAGGTAGAGTGATTCTCATGTATCATTGGGATATTCATTTTAAGGCTACTTTACTACAATATGCAATTTTTTCCTTATCAAAATATTTTTGTTTCCTTTTAATTTTAAAGATTTTCAAGAAAAAACTATAAAGCTATATTGGTAGTGTTTTTGCTTCAGTCACCTGTACAAAATAGATTCTGGCAGTGTTTAAAGATGAAATCCTGTGATTTTTCAGATGGTGTTACAGGTGATGTAGACCGTTGCAAGCCATTATCAGAGGCTTCCTTGTTCTAGCAGCAAAAGCCTTCACCGTTTATTCTCTGACCCTAATGCCTGTGAAAAGAGGTGGGAAGCAGCAGTTTCTCCACCAATAAAACTTCTCCTCTCCCTGTCTAACCCTCACATATAAAATCTTTTAGAATATCCTTAATGACTTTAACTATGCTTGTGATGTGTTCCTGTAGCTGTTGAATGATGTGCGTATCTTCCTGTTGTTTAATAATCGCAGACAAAACATACAAGGAGTAGAAGACAAAATTACGAAACTGAAAGTTACTATGGTGGCATGGGATCGTCATGACAATTCTGTTATTACTGCCGTTAATAATATGACTTTGAAAGTTTGGAATTCCTTCACTGGCCAACTTATTCATGTTCTTATGGTAAGAAACATTTTGAGCAATTGCTTTTAGTTGTGGTCATCCTATAACAGCACAGCCTGTGTGTACAAAACCAAGGGTCTCAAATTAGTATTTTCAAATAGCTTGAAAATTGAAATGTGGGAACAGTTTCTGTTGATTAGGGTCAAATATACTAGGAATTCATTAGGCGTTATTTAAAAAAACCCTGAACATACCAATGTATGCATGCCCAAATAGAAATTGGTACACTCTAGATCAGGGGTCCCCAACTGTCGGTCTGTGGCCCGGTGCCAGTCCGTGGGCTTCACAGGACCGTGCCACAGAGACATATCCCACCCACACACGCATGGTGGGTGTGGTGTACTTTTGTGCATGTGTGGGTGGCGGGCGTGTTCATGGATGGGTGTGGAGCACTCACAGGTGGATGTGGAGTCCACGCGCACCCCACTCATCTGTGAACACGCCAGCACATGTGTGCCATGCCCATCTAAGAACGTGCCATGCCCCCACGCATAGACCCCGCCCACCCAACTGGTCCGTAGTTCCGAAAAGGTTGGGGACCACTGTCCTAGATCTCATTCTTTGCTGATTTTTTTCATAGACTAAAGCAAAATGAGGAGTTCTTTTCTTATTGAAAATATATTTTATAAACCTGGATTATCTCTGGCAGCATCTGCATTCTGGAGCGTTTACTGAAAATCTAAAGAAAGTTCTGCTCTTTGCCTTATAGGCCTTTGTCCTGTAGCATATTTTAGAAGCTTGAATTTACAACATCAAAAGGAAATTTGTCACTTGATAAACTGAACTCTTGTCTGTTTAGCACTTGAAATTAATATGACCAAACCACAAATGTCTGTCTTGTGGTTTAGCTTTGTCCCCATGTGCTTTCTTCCTTTCTTTCATTCCTTCTCCGACTAATGTTATTAGATGTTCAACCCAACACAACTGTTTTCAGTTTGTTATCTTTAATTATTTCAGGGCCATGAAGATGAGGTTTTTGTACTTGAGAGTCATCCTTTTGATCCTAGAGTTCTCTTCTCTGCTGGTCATGATGGAAATGTGATAGTATGGGATTTGGCAAAAGGAGTAAAAATTCGATCTTACTTCAACATGGTAAATATTTCAGTTTTTCACATTAAAAATAGATGTTATGAAATCTTGCTTCATCCTTAATCCAATACAGTTTTGATAGAATTGTAGGCTGTGTATATAAGCATGTAAACATTTGTTGACACATTATGCACGGTGTAGCCATATTAACTTACATACCTTGAATAGATAGTTGGAATTTTCTTTCCCTTATTCAGAGTAAATTTTGGGATGTGTGCAATTCTGGTGCAAGACCAGCCTGTTCATTATATATGATTCTATCAAGTCTGAAACTCTTGTTTTTTTTTAAATCAGCTTTGTCTGATATTAGCATGACAAGCTGTCTCATTATATATGTTTAGTCACTACAGAGTTCCAGTTCTGGTTCATAGATTGGATATGATATGGACAAATGGCTGTATTTAGATTTTTAGAAAGAACACATGAAGTGGAAGCCAGGGCTGTAAGTGCAAGCCCCAAACCCAGAGTGTTCATCCTGCTGGTTGATACTGGGAGCTTCTGATCTGAATATATGAGATTCTGAAGGTCTCACTAGAGAACAAGATTAGGCTGCATTATTACTGCTTGTTCATGTATTCAGCGTAGGGAGTTTAATAAGCAAGAGGGGATTGAGAAATATATCTGTTCACTATGGAAGATTTCGCTAATATTTTTGTCCTAAAACATTTTAATTTTTGGTTAAAAATTGTGGCCGACCTGATTGGCTTAAATTTGTAATACCTAGTGAGTCCTAAACTGTCCTCTCCCCCTTTCCCATCTACCTATCTAAGATTGCTTGGGTGCACAGTAGAGATGGGGTTTTCTTACTTCCATAATTCTTAATTCCAAGAGTTTTACCTGACAGACACTTGCATATGGCTTTCTTGGGAATAAGACGTAAACTGGAAGGCCTTGAGGCTTAGTTGGGCCTTACCCTGTGCAACCTTCCTGTTCTTGACCTAGTACTAGCTGGGAATTTTCTTTCTGAACCAGAAGCTAGGTGGAGTTAAGTCATAAAGACTTACTGTTTTGCCATTTTTCCCAGATGAGCGACATGTAGGTATCTGTAAAGAGTCTGTGTCAGGTAGAACTCCCAGAATGGAGAATTTTGGGTTTATAGTAAAAAAATTGGAAAATCCATCCCTAATGCATAGCTGTGAGCTGCTCTGTTCTGATAGAAATAATGTTTTTTGTCATGTCTATACAGGAAGCATGTTCTGTTAATAGAATTTTAAGCATTGTGTTTCTGCCATTTCAAGATACATTTTAGCTATAGTAAACTAAGTTAATTGAATACATATTATTTGGAACCAGTTAAATTGTGCTATTGTATTATTTATTGACATTGTACTAGATTAAAGGAATGGATTGTTTCAGTTAATGCCACATAGTTTTAAAACTAGTATTTGGGTTTTCAAGAAAAGCTGAAACATATTGGCCAAAATGCTGTCATGTGGTTATGCAAAAAGTGTAACTTCTTCATCGTGGTCTTCTGTGAATGCACACAAAAGGGTTAAGTCAGCGCCAGCGTGGATCCCTTCGGAATGTTCCAGAGCTCTGTAGAGAAAGAAACATAGTTTAATACTGCCTATACCACGCATGCTCCGCCCGCCCAAGCCTCAGTTCCATTTCTCCCCCGTGCGAAGTGGTTCTTATGGTATTAGCTCTGCTAATTCCTCGCTACTGTGAGTTTTCTTCGAATTTACTGGACTTTTCTTGACCTTGGCTTGCATTTGACTACTCTTTTGGCTTACGGACTTGTTTGGCTGCTTGGGTTCTCTACCCTTTGCTGTTACTTTGGATCTCTATTTTTCCCGCCATTTTTACTGGCTCAGCTTCGCTGTTTGTTAGTTTGCCTATGTCCCCCCCCCACGCTCAGGGCTTTTTAGCCGGTGCATGGTTTTCTCTGGGAAAATTCCCTATCACGACGGGCACGATACTTGTCTTTTCTGTTTGGGAGAATCACATTCATCCCAAAATTGTAAGCATTGCAGTGCTTTTACTAAAGCTGCTCTGAAGGCAAGGCAGCAATGTCTGAAGTTACATTTGTGGGACTCTGCTCTGTCAGCCTCTAAACCATGGAGCTCCCTTCTCCCACTTCTACCTCCCGTGCTGAGGATATTCCCCAACACCCACCTTCAACTGCTCCTGCTGAGGCTTCTGCTGCAAAACCGTCTAAAAAATCTTCTACAAAGAAATCTTCTTCCAAGGCTGCTGCTACCTCGAAACCTGTAAAGCAAACCAAAACCAAGCAGTTAGCCAAAACTAAAGAATCCACTCAACATCTTGCTCCCATCTCTTCATCTCTCCCTTCACCAATTTTGGAAGATTCTTCGAGAGACAAGGACTCCATGTCGGAAGTAACCCCCTCGCTTCCTCCCAGACAGTCAGAGCCAAATTCACCCCATGGCGTCCTATCTCCGACGCCTAGCTAGCTCGTTCACATTACAGCTAGCTTGGGGTCAGCCCCTTTGAGCCCTGTTTCCACCAGGCAGGCATCTTTGGCTCACTCAGTGTCTCTGGCTCCCTCTCAGCCATCGCCTCCGCGCAAGAAAGCTGAGAAAAGAAAGCATGTCTCTCAGCGTATCTGGCTCCCTCTCAGCCATCGCCTCCGTGCAAGAAAGCTGAGAAAAGAAAGCATGTCTCTTCTGATCGACGTCGATCACCCCGTCGAGATGATAAAGGGAAGCATAGTCATTCTTGACGTCGCCATAGGTCTTCGTCGGAAGACTAATCTACCTCGGGGTCAAGATGCAGAAGGCACAGATGGCGTCAACGGAGGGACTCTTCTACTTCCTCCTCTTCGACATCATCAGACCGCCGTCTCCATCGCCATGTTAAATACGTCTATGTGTCGAGATGCAGAAGGCACAGACGGCGTCGACGGAGGGACTGTTCTACTTCCTCTTCGACATCATCAGACCGCCGTCGCCATCGCCATGTTAAATACGTCTATGTGTCTTCTTCCTCTGCTTCAACTCTGCCACGGAAGCATCGATGTCAACACCGAGAAGGTGCTGATAAGCTTCCTCAAGCACCTCCTCCAGGAGCTCCAGTGGTGGAACGCCCTGTTAATGTACCTTCAGCATCGACTACATTGCCACCTACACAGCACCCTACTCCAGTTCCTCTCGACATCGAGCTTTGACGTCAACAGAGGGCCCATGCAGTTTCTTCTGAAGATGAGGCACCCTTTTCTTCTGCAGCCTCTGGTTCAGATGATGAACAGCCTCAACAGCCAAAGCCTGATGAGTTACCGATGGGAGAAACGGTGGAATCTGACACGGGTGACCCACATGATTCCTCGCCGTCCGAAGATTTTTCTTCTGATTCTCAAATGCTGTCGAGGTTCGCTTCGCGAAAACCCTCAAGTTACGTGCGGATGAGCCTCCACCTCCAGAGGAGGATCTTATTTTCGGGGACATTAATAAAGAGCCTTCCCCACCTCCTAGCCTATCTTACGTACCGGCCTTGTTGGGACTTACTAAAGAACTCTGGGACCATCCTTCAGTTGCAGTACCTTTACCTAGATGCACTGAGAATATGTATAAAATGGTGATGATGCTAAATTCCTTTTGAAGCATCCAATTCCTAACTCCCTAATAGTTGAAACCAGTTGTACTAAACCTACTGGGAGAGCCCATGTCATCCCAACTAACAAGGAAGGAAAAAAGTTGGAAATGATAGGAAGGCACCTTTACTCCCTTATTGCCTTCATCCTTCGAGTGGCGAACTACCAAACTGCACTAAGTGCTTACCAAAAGCAACTATGGTTAAAGATTCTTCCAGGTTTAAAGTTGTTGCCTGAAGATGTTAGGCAGGGATATCTTAACACCTATGAGGAGGCCCAAACGGTCTCTAAACACCAGAGGATTGCCACTAGACATTCAGTGGAAGTGGCTGCTAGAATTCTTGTATTGGCTGTTACTCTTCGCAGGCATGCATGGCTTCAATCTGCGAACGTCTTGGATGATGTGAATACCAAGGTAGAAGACTTGCCCTTTGATGCTTCGAGTCTCTTTGATGAAAAGACCGATGGCCATTTTGAGCTGCACAAGGTCAAGAAGACGGCTAAATCTTATTACATTCAGCCTCAACCTAGATTTAATAGGTATCAATGGAAGAAGTCTACAGCTCAATATAATGAATCTTCTCAACAATACAGGCAATTTAAAGGCTCATCCCAAGCTAGATCTTCGCAGGGTAATTCCTCAAATTCCACTTACCGTACTCAGGCTTCCCAGCGACGTCAGTCATACAAGCCTCTTGCCAAGAAATACAAGCAATATCTTTGACTCGACAGCAGTTCTGCCACTCCCCACTCCTATAACAAGACTTCAACTGTTCATTTGAAATTGGTGAACACCATTCGACCCTGCCCTAGAGGAGGAGGTTCGCTCACTGTTGAAGAAGCACGCTATCCAAAGAGTGCCAAAAAGAGACATTTTGAACGGTTTCTACTCAAGGTAATTCGCCGTTCCCAAAAAAGACGGAGGAAGAAGACCCATCATGGACCTTCGAATTCTAAACACTTACCTTCGACCTCGCCAGTTCCGAATGGTGATGCTGGAGTCTATAATCCACCTATTAAGAAGAAAAGATTGGTTTGTGGTCATAGATCTGAAGGACGCGTACTTTCACATAACAGTCCATCCCTCACATCGCAAATTTCTCAGGTTTGTTTTTCAAGACGTCATTTATTAGTACCTGGCGCTTCCGTTTGGCCTGGCGACGGCCCCCAGGACGTTTACCAAGTGCATGGCACCTGTTGCTGCTTACCTGAGGTTGCACGGTGTGCATGTTTTTCCATACATTGACGATTGGTTGCTGGTCTCTCCATCCAGGTGCTGGGCCCTGAAAGACACCAGGTTTATTCTGCACGTCCTTCAGAATCTAGGTCTCAAAGTGAACGACAAAAAATCCCATTTGACCCCCTCAAGAGTTGTAGATTATATTGGCGCCACAATAGATGCTGTCAAGGGTCGCATCTTCCTCCCACAAAATCGAATCCAAAAAATCCTAAA